CCTTCCTTCCTCCCTTCCTCCCTTCCTTCCTCCCTCCCTTCCTCCCTTCCTTCCTTCCTCCCTCCCTTCCTTCCTTCCTTCCTTCCTTCCTTCCTTCCTTCCTTCCTTCCTCCCTTCCTTCCTCCCTCCCTCCCTCCCTTCCTTCCTTCCTTCCTCCCTTCCTCCCTTCCTCCCTCCCTTCCTCCCTTCCTCCCTCCCTCCCTCCCTCCCTCCCTCCCTCCCTTCCTTCCTCCCTCCCTCCCTCCCTCCCTCCCTCCCAGGCCTGAGTCTGCTCGGACCAGCACACTTGAACCGGATCTCTGTGGCTCCAGACCGTTGAGGGCAGAGATGATGTTCTGATGGTAGAGGCTGCAGACCCCTGGTCCATCTTGAACTTTTTAACTCGAGCTTTGGCTTCTTTGTTGGAATCACTAAGAAGGACCGTGTGTGTGAGGAGAAGCAGTAAATCTGTTTAATAATCTGTCCAGGCTCTTTGGGTCAGCTGATAGCGCAGCGCGGCCGACTGCCAGAAGATTTGAGTCTGCACTACTTCTCTCAAGTTCTAACAGCGCTGGAATACTTGGGGAAGAAACACGTGGCGCATTTAGATATTAAAGGTATGTTAAAGAAAAACGTATTCTTTTCAAACAGTGTGTTAGTTTTCAAGTCTGGTATGAGTTATTATTGTCTGCTGCCAGAGAGAGGCAGTAAAGTTTGACGCCCACGTGCTCATTTGTCTGTAGAGTTGATCAGTTCTAGGTTTAATGAAAGCACGTCTAGAACTGACTGAGCTTTAAAGGAATCCAAATTCAAGATGGCCTCTGCAGCTAGTGCATTCTACAGATATTTGTTGGTGTGGTAGTAGCCGAGTCTTCTTCAACACATACTCGTGAGTGTTGCCAGATCTTGTACATGAGGTTTTACATGACATTTACAAAGTTTGACCAAAACAGCTTTAACTTGGTTCCTTCTCATCAAAAGATATTACCATATTTTTCGGACTATAAGGAACACTTAAAATCCTTTAATTTTCTCAAAATTCAACAGTTCGCCTTATAATCGGCACTTCTTATGAATAATTCTGGTTGTGCTTACTGACCTCAAACTGATTTTATTTGGTACAACTGAACAAGTTGAATAAAGTTTGACTTATCTGACTGTTTTGTTGCACTTAATGCACTTTATAATCCGGAAAATACGGTAGTTTAAAATTCTGGCATGAAAGAAGGAATATGCATTATTTTGAGGAATGCATGTCTTTAATTGTTAAATTTAAAGATGCAGATGATGCTGTTTTTAATGCTTTTTGATCTAATGAAGGTGTTAATGTTTGAGAATGAAGACGTGCGTAGAAGAAAAGTAGTTTAATCTTATCTGAGTGTATGAAAACATGTTTTTCAGGATGTGCAGCAGGAGAGACGGTTTTTTCACTAGAAATGTGTGAAACGATGATTTTATGCAGGAAGTGCCAATATTTAGAATAAATTCCAAGGATCAGTCCAAAAACTTAATTTCCAAGTTGTAGTCAAGCAGATAGTTGTCAGGTGACTCGTGTGGTTTCCAGTGGAAACCAGAATAAACAAAGAGTAGGAGAGCTGGTTTTCTTTCAGGAGTGTTTTATGCGAGTGTCATGGAGACGGTTTAGATTTGATCATGAGACACCTGTGAGCTTTGTGAAACCAGATTACAGCTGAGGGACTGGGAATTTCCCACAGCGTGACTCACCGCTGCAGTCCAGAGACGGCGCAGGCGCACAAGAAAGAAAAGGGAGAACGTAAAAGATGGGGGGATGGGAGAGGAGCAGGAAGTCGCCGGCCATGACAAAGTGTAGACAGCAAGGCGAGCTAGAAGAAAAAGTGCTGAAATGAGAAGAAGGTGGAAGTATAACAAAAAGAGGAAACTGAAAAATGGACCCACAATAAAGGAAGGAGTAAAAATGGGCCAGCGTGCAGACAGACATGCTTTTGTTTAAAACTGAAGCGCCCCCTGCTGATCGCAGCGCCGTGCAAACTCTCTTGTTCGTTATTTAGTCCAGATGAAAATGTTTGCTGTCCCAAACTGAACTCATGTTTCCCTCTTGAACAGCTCTTTGTTTTGTGGACTGTTTGTCCACGCAGCGGCCTGTTCTTAATTATCTCCTGCTCCAACTTCAGCTCTAACAATGAGGCCGCGCAGTAACGGCTCTGCTCCTTACAGCTGACAACGTGCTGCTCTCAGAGGACGGGGGGGACACCTTCCTGTGTGACTTTGGACACGCAGAGAAACTCGATAACCAGGGGCAGAGCCTCGGTGGGTCCAAAGGTGGGTTCTCCTCTACGTGATGCTTCATTTATTCACCTGCATGTGCTTCATTGACAAATGTGATTCGTATCAGATCTAAAGGGCACAGAGACACACATGGCCCCTGAGATCGTAAAAGGGGAACCCCGCGGGGCCAAAGCAGATGTGTGGAGCAGCTGCTGTATGTTACTGCACATGCTCAATGGGTGTCAACCATGGACGAGATACTACACCTGCATCCTCTACCTGAAGGTGCACTGCGACGCATGCATGTGTTGTTTCACCGAGTGTATTTGATCCTCAGCTTAGAACAGCACAAACCACTAAATCCTCCTGTTCCGATGGTTACAGATTGCAAACGACCCCCCTCCTCTCAGAGAGATCCCACCTGACTGCAGCCCGTTAACAGCTGAGGTTTTAAACGCTGGATTCCAGAAGGATCCAGTTAAGAGATCAGCAGTGACTCAACTCAAAGACAAAACGGACAGAGCTCTGAAAGAAGGTGAAATAAAACATGAATTTCTCTCTCGTACAGTCCATATCAGGGCTATTCAACTGGTGGCCCGTGGGCCACTTCTGGCCTGTGGGTGACGATCGGGCCCACTTCATAAAAAATTAATAAATATATATATACCATACTTTTTGCCCTATAAGTCACAGTTTTTTTGCATAATTTACATGCCCTGCGACTTGTAGGCTGAAGCGACGTATTTATGGTATTTTCCATATTTATAAATCGATATTTTTTGTGGCTGAGATATGACGTTCTCATTCATTCTGACTGAAAAAATGAAACACTGCCATTTTTTCAGCCGCTAGATGGCACCAGAGTTGTAAGGCATGCCGTTGTATCATGTAATAGGTAAACGTGACTATAATGACAAATTCAAAAAAACTTCAAGACAAAACAACTGGACTTTATTTATTATACTTTATAGTTTTTGTCTTGAACTTTTTTGAATTGACCATGTCCTGGATGACTGAGAATCTTCACCAGCTATTACTGACACAATCGGCCTGCCATAAGCTGTTGCCTTCATTCTGCTCGCTGCTTGGAGCAACCGTCAAATCAGCTTCATTTCACTGCACCGCCCCGGAGAAATGCAGCTGATTTGACCTTTAAAGTGCATTTATTAAGTACAAGTTACACGGAGACACACCTTTACTATAATTTTGAGCAAATAAATAATTATTTTTAAGTGTTAATCTAGTTAAATTCTTGTTAAGTCCTCCCGTGCACGCTCCTACGGCCGCCATTTGGCAGCCAATCAAATTTTGGCACAACACTGGGTTGTCAGTGGTGATACATAATGGATGCGACATATTTATGGATTTATGGATTTTCTACTTTATTAGACAAATATGGATTGATGAGACTCATAGGGCGGAAAATACGGTATTGGGGGGGGGGGGCAGCTCTGGGTTTGGGTTCTGTTTATTGCATTTATGATTCAATGCAATAAAATAAACAAATTTAAAAAAGTAACAGATCATTGTAAACTTTGGTTTATTTACATAAAGACTTTGATCTTTGGATGTCCGGCCCCCGAGCTGTTGGCGTTCAGAAACTGTGGCCCCTGAGCTGTTGGCGTTCAGAATCTGTGGCCCCTGAGCTGTTGGCGTTCAGAAACTGTGGCCCCTGAGCTGTTGGCGTTCAGAAACTGTGGCCCCCGAGCTGTTGATGTTCAGAAACTGGCCCCTGAGCTGTTGGCGTTCAGAATCTGTGGCCCCTGAGCTGTTGGTGTTCAGAAA